CAGAGACCATCAAATATCCTCTGCAACATAGAGGTTTGACACATACTGTAAAATCTACAATATATGTCACAATCCGTTTATGGAGGTCTCCCTGAAGTATAAATGGTTTAAACAGATGATGATTTCCATTTCCATTTATTCAACAAAGTCCACAACGTGCAGTTTCTGTGCAGCTGTGTAGCTCTTGAGTTTTAGACATTTGGAGTTTGCTATCCTGCATTAGTTTAGCTCTAAGCCAACGGTGAAAGTTCTGAAGTACAGACCCACAACCCAAAAGTTCCAGTGCCCACCTCCACTGGTCACTTATTGTCTTTTCCATTAAACCAGCGCTCCTGAAGGTTCATTTACAATATACTATCATTTCCTTTAAATGCAGGATTATGACGTAATTAGGGAGAAAGCCTGGTCTGCATCACTACGTATCCCGGCATGTTTTGAGAAGTGAATGGGGGACAGTGTTCAATAAGGTCAGTTCACTTACAATGTGTGGAGGTGGTGGCTGCACATACGGTCAAGACCCTGTGTCAGAATTTTATAATGGAATATTGGGCGCACTGGTATTGAGAATGCAGCAAACCTTTTAGATTAAAAAAGGTATTAGAAGTGCGTCTCATTCACCAGATTTTACTGAGTATTGGTTTGGACAGTCAACCCTTTGCAGACTGTGATTTTTGAGGTGTTCTGATGCTATGTGTTGTCAAAGTCGGACTTTTTCCGTTCATAAACCTTCATTTCTACCCGGTGGCCCCTCACTCCTCTCCCTCAGCAGCTCTCAATACGAAAACAGCACCAAGCCAGGAGTCCTTGTCATTTCCTGCTGGAGTAATCATTTAGGTTATGTGTCACTGCCTGTCACGGGCTACAGTCCCCCCCCCCCCCCCCCGGGCGCCAACACTTGTTCTCGGGAATAAGCTAATTGATTGAAACATTCATCATCATCCACGGCCCTTGCTCGTATGAAAGCTCTCCCCCAGGGCGGAAAAGTCCTGGACTTTTGAAGGAGGGTGAAACACACTAATGGAAGTGCTGTAAGTGAGAGATGAGCGTCAGCCTCTAACAGCATGTGTACGCCTTTTAAAACAGGAAGTCATGATGATAATCTTTGGGGCTCCATGCTTGGCTATGTAATGACTCATCCAGACTTCTAATGATTGGTATTAGTCAGAGCTATAACTTCATAATTAATCAAAGGAGATGTAAAGTTTCCTTTTTATTTAATGCAGTCAGACTGTATGATGTTTATTGATGTATATTTTCAGTTTCTTTCATGCAAGTTTCAGTAACTTGATGATGATATAAGCAAAGCCTTTCTGCAAAAACAAATGATTTACAACTAGTTTAAATGTATATTGTCTTGGTTCTACTGTGATGTGTTGTTGTACACACTGCAGCATTTTATAATTAGGTTGATTTTGTTCCTCCATCATCACTTTAAAAAACATGTTCCTCTATCCTGAAATCTTATGAGACTGATCAGGATTACGTTGGTAACAAGTTCTAATCTCTTGGAGAACTTGTAACGATTTGAACACACAGTACAGCTGCCTTCAAATACATATATGTTTTCTGACGGTGCTGTGTTGTTGTATTTTCCTTGTCAACAGTCTGAGTCTCATTTTGTTTCTCCTTCCTCCGCTTGCCTGCTGAATCAGTCATCCATAGCAGCTGCCTCCATCTGAGTCGGGGCTGCCTGCATGCCTGGCTGGGCAAACAGCAGCTTGAGAGGCAGGATGTGAGGGGAGGCTGTGGAGATGGCTGGCTGGCTGGCTGGGCGGTACGATTGCATTTTGTCAAAATCAATTGCTGGAATGGAGGCACTTAAAACGCTGCTAAAGAGCAGGGGAACACGGGTGGACGTGTTGGAAAAAAAAGGAACTTCATAGATGTTGGATAAATTCTTATTTAGTTGTATATTTTTTTTAACTATAAATTCAACAATTCTGAGGTAATGTATGTATGTTAATCTCTGTGAAAGAGTTTGGAATATGAAATTCCCAATGAGGTTTGGCTCCAGCCTAGTTTTACTGAATGTGAGTATGCACACACACACACACACACAAAAAAAAAAAAGGTTTTGGGTGAGCTGATGTGTGAATGCAACAGTTAACAATCAGGAACATTCATTGCAAGTAAGCAAGCATGGGAAATGATGTTTGTATCACGCGATAGTGAGCAACCAGTGTGATTCTCTTTTCTGCCTGACAGTATGTTCTTTACTATTGATATAGCATTGATATATAGAAACAAATGTCATCATGGCGTCCATCTCTGTTGCTTTGTCCGCTATTTCCAAGGCATCATATTTCATGTCCTGCCTCCTGAGACCCCCCCCCCCACTCCCCCCCTCCATCTCTCACTTTGAGGTGCATTTATGAACACACATGTCAGAAGATTTCAGCTGCATCCTGTTCTGAAATGTTCTACATATGCACATGCTCATGTGTAAAAATTCTATAGCGTTTATATGTTATTGGAAGTGTAGAAGTGCAGAAGTGTGGAAGTGTAAATGTCGCTTGAAAGAGCATCTGAAAATTGGAAATGTGACCACTACAATGAACCACCTAAGTGAATAAACCACTCCAACATAAGCTTAACCAACTGCCATGTTTCCAATAGAGGAAAGAAAAGCACCGCTTACGTGGCTCCATAGCGCCCAAAAAATGATGCCTTTCTTATTCAAACCACCTGAAAGAAACCCATTAAATGACAATTTGCATCGTACGTGCAGAGGGAATACCTGCGTGAAGTACAACACATGGCAATAACACCAAATGAATCCTGTTTGCACAAATGGGGCATCCCTCCAAATGCTGTTTTAATCACATTACCACACACACACACACACACACAGCTCTACCCGACTTTATTTCACTGCAGCTGAGATTTCTATTCATAGCTGGAGGAAATCAGCCCCCCACGTCACCTCTGATTTACCCTTTGGTGCACTTTAAACCCGGGATGGTAGGTTGTTAACTGTAATAGATACAAGGCGGCTTGCTGTAATTCCTCCCTGCACAGGACTGCTGTTACATGAGGGGGTCTTATGAGTTACGAGACAAACTCTGGGATACACATTCCCCAGAGATAACAAGGTGGTTAAAATCATTGCTGCACTCGGTGTTTATGTTGCTACCTCGATTCCTCTTCTCCTATCTATACTGTTTGTCTCGAAGATGTGACTGTAATGAGACATTCCTGTATGATAAAGCTGCCATGCAAGACAGGGACGCATCCTGCAACATATCAAGATCACACAAGTTTCCATCAATCAGCTGTAAACAAGCATCCTGCAAACACAAACTCTGCACCTGCACTGTGAGCACACAGAGCTCATTATTCTGCAAGCAGCAGAAATCTATAACACTAACATTGTATTTCTCTCCTAGTAGAAAACCTACACACACACACACACACACACACACACACACACACACACACACACTATGTCAAATGTCTCTGGCATTGACTGTCCACATAGAGGTGGAAGTACTCAGACAAAGAGAGTGATTAATTATTCAAAGAGGCTCACTGCAATCCATTACATCACATGCATTATGAAGCAGTCTGATCTACAGCACCTCTTCAAAATCTATCGCTCTTAACAATGAGACTGAACAGGCAAGGTAAGAAGGATCGACCAGAGGGGCTACCTACTCGCTGGTCGTGAAAGGTTACTGTGTTCGCAGGCGGCAGAGAGGATTAATAACTTAAGGGTTAAAGTCAAAGTTTGAGCCAAGCATGGTGTCGATTAGCAAAACATCAAGAATAACAATACAAAAAAAGAAAAGAAAAATGTATCTATATTTGAGAAAAGATTAAAAATGTGTGTAAAACATGGAAGAGAAAAAATGTGTTGATGTTTTAAAATCCCTTTGCCAAATTTACAGTCCTACTTCCAGAAACAGCAGACGCTTTTTTTAAGTAAAACAAAAAACCTGCCCCAAGCAGCACATAGAACAATTGCGCGATTAGCTGATAAACACAATGACACGTTGTGTTCCTGTTAGCCTGCTATTTCCCTCTGGAGTTGGTGGAGACCAAAAACAAAGCTAAAAGACACTAAATCAAGGACTTTTAAAAGCTAGATGACTTCCAAAATAACTTCAAATTAATGACGGTGTTGTACTCTAACTGCTGGGGGTCTAAATCGGCAACTGTTGCTATCAACTCCAACTTTGACAAATAGCCAAAAACGTATTTACTGGATGGATTTGATGTAGTCTCGCAGGATATACGAGTTAGTACTTTTGCAATGTATCTTTGCGAGCAGTGTTAAAAAATATAACTGGATGAGAGTTCTCCTTTAAATATTCAAGGATGTTTGAATTCCCTCTTGAAATAGCAAGAGGGTTGAGAGTTTCATCATCTTGTCCAACAGCTCTGCCCACATGTTCCAAGACCTTCAAACGGACTATTTTTTATCACTATGAGAGTATGAATAGAGGGGGCTATTTTCTACCATACTAATGCCGAACACTCTCTATTTCCTTACCCATCACTGAAAATGTGTGTTAAATATATGACCTGAACCTGAAAAAAATCTCACAAAATCTCATATTTCTGTCATTGTCATTTATTTGAAATCTGGTCCAGTTGGGAACCATGTTTTCACCCCGTGTCATGTTGGCTCAACCCATCGTATACGTACCATAACACATGCAGTAACCTTCATGAGACAACAAGTCGTAACCACTTAGAGTATATTGGGAATATGTTTAGGTAAAACTGAAAAAGAAAGCAAAGAAGTGACTGTATTTTGATGATTATATAATACAGTTTGTATGTACTTTAATAGATAGTCAGTAGCTCTGAGTTCAAGAGTTGATAGGTTGATAAAGGTATCATTAGAGAAGCACTAGATCCATTCATCATGAGATGTTCAGATTTAGTGCTTTTCCATTTAGCGCCTGGTGAAGATGTGACTGAGTGCGTGTACGTTACAGATCGGCTATCCGGAACAAATCAATCCTCTGTCTAATCCGCATGTTCTGCACACTCACCTCCATAGTGGACAGGTTGCATCGATGACTTCCAGCAAACCAGCCATCAGCGGAGCACTGGTCGATATCAACATCCTGTAGATTAATGTCAACGCGCACCACGCCCCTGCAAGACAGGAGGACACCATTAACCCGGCTGTTGAAGAATTAAGAATGTCAGTGCAAAGTGAGAGACACTTTTTACAGGTTGTATCCTCTCAGAAGTCAGACAAATGACAGTTTATTTCCCCAGAGAAGAGTGCTGCATATTATCTATTTCAATAAAATGTGTCAGTGAACGATTGGCTGTCAATAATGAGGTATAAAATAGCTGCTGATCTATTCAAAGTCTTGTTTACCAGCACTACCAGGAAGGGAACAAACATGATTAACAACAAAATGTATACTTGTTTTGATGGATAAGATGCCCTCTAGAGTGATAACAAGTGACAAAGCTCTACAATCTCTCACACTGTCGCTCAGTTGAATTGACTGTGGAGACTGTGTTGTAACCTTTAGCTGTTGTATTTCTCCTCTGGGCATTGATTTGAACATCTGTTTATCTGGTTTAGGGGTGATGATATGGAGAAGGGAAATCCAGAGTACTGCCAGCACAAACTTTTCATCAAGGTTTTCATGTCTGTGTCTCAAAATTACACAAGTTTTGTTTAGATTTCTAAGCGCTGTGGGGGATAAATGTCATTTTGTGATCCAGATTAATTTCTGCAAGTGATCATTGACTAAAACCCGTTTAATTTCAATGCTGAGTGATTTGTATTAGCATTGTATTTTGCCCCCGGTGCCATTTTGTTAAAGAGACCTTTGTGGTTTCAGTGAGTTATTTATGGAGAACATTATTACAAGGGAAATAATTAGATTGAGCAGCCTTTTCATTTTCTACAGTTTTTTGCAGTTGAGAGGAACAACAGGATTTTGCACACTATTTTAATGTACTACGCAATGATTTATAAAAAGGAGGTAGTTATGAGCAGAGAATTTCACAATTCAATTAAACAACTACTGGTACATATTTAGTTAACACAACAATTAAAAATATATTTAAAATGCAAATTAAAGGGACAAAACTATAGACTAATTGTTACATGTTGCATAATACATTTGTTTATGTTTTGAATTAAATAAAAAAGAATCTTCATAAAAAGCTCATGATAATGATATTACATAAAAACAAGAATAACACAAAGGGCTTGGGGGTTAGCATAGCAGATAAAGCCGTCATCTTGGAAAAGAGCATTGCTACAACACACCAATCACACGTTCTGCTGTTGACTTATTTCATATAAAGATAAATAGTCTCTAGAATAAACCATTTATGGTGTGGCACATTTAAATCCCAGGTATTCCAGGTATTAGAATCAGTGCTGTTATAAGCTGTGACAGCGAGGAGTGTAAAACATCTTGTCCTGTCTACTGCTCAGTTTTGAGGACACAAGAGTGTGGTTACCATAGTAACGCCTCAGTCAAACCGTCATCTTGTGGAGACTTATCGAAACAACAAAACACAGAGCAGAGAAGCGGCGGAGGATGCTGTCACTGTCGCTTTATCACTTCTGGGATGAGAGGGTTCAAGTTTTGTGTGATTAAAGAAGAGATGGTATGAAGCTCGGAGAAGTGTGAAAAAGAAAAAGCTGTGAAATTGCAGAAAAAGCAGGAACAAAAGAACAGTTAAAACTCACTTCTGATCTATATTAAGCTTTTTTTAACAGCAGACATTTTGACATGCTGCAGACAAAGCACAGGTGTAATAGGTAACATTAATCACAACACCTTGATGGGGCTATTTTTAGTGTTACACACACTTCCTCTACAGTGCCTGCTGTTCATGTTAAGGAATCAGGGTATTTAAGTCGTAATTTTACAACACAATGCTGGACAATGTCGTGTAGTGATTTTTATCCGAGTGGCTGCTGAAATTGTATTACAAGACAAAAAAATACCACAAGTGTTGTTTAAGTCTTAACCCCCTCTTCTTTATGAGGGGCCAAGTAAAAGTGGATTCAAATCAGGGTTGCGCTAACTTTATGGTTTTGTGCCACGAAAACATCTTAAATCTACGGTGAAACTAACCTTAAACACACACATACTGTATATCTCTTTCTTTTAAAGGTTAATGGTTACGGTATAAAAGCATAAAAACACCCTACCTTTAATAAGGCTGTAAAATGTCGTTTGAAAACATGAGATCATGGTGGTTAAATAGTCACATTTCTATTATTAACTAAAGTTCCTTGTTTTTGGTTCCACCATGACGGAATTAAGGGACTGACTCATGTACGGCGAGCACACGTTACCTCCGGTTACCTAAGTCAAGAACCTCTTTACAGGACAAGCAGTGTTTCGAGGTATTTGTTTAATCTGAAATATACTTTATTTCATGTTTGTGCAGATAATTATTCTGTAATCGTTTAAGTTGTACCACAAGGTATTTTTCAGTCAAGATAATAGAGCGCCACAGGAATGAGTCCTAAAACCCGGAAGTAAGTTAGCATTTGAGCACCATGGGGTCTAACGTCTAAAAGTCAACGGGGATTTTGAATGTGTTTGTAGCTAGACGCCTGAAATAAGGTCTGTGGTTAACACAAGCTGAAGAGATGTTGGTGTTTTGTTAGAGCACATAAACTACGTTAGGTAATACCTCCACTTGTGAAGTTTGAAGTTTTTACTCGTCTTTAAAAAGGCGGTTGCTAACAAGTGGCTAAATGTGACTACAGTGGTTGTTGGGGACATTAAAGGTCATCACGCCGGACACAGAGGGCGGGAACTCTCTCACTAGTCGGAGATGTCTCCTGTAGGTTTAATCTTTAGGTTAAGGTGAATATTATGTTAGTAAACTATTTATGAAGCTAAGCGAGGATTAGTTTATCGGAGATCGTCTGAAGCATAACGTGACGTCACAATCATCCCACCGTGGTGTAGTTAGCTTTAGCATAACGTTAGCTTTTTACTTCAGTCGGTCGCATTAACTCTTCAAACATCATAAAAATGGCGTTCATCTGTGAAGATCATCCTGCTGAACAAAACGCCTACGCTTCAGAAACGTGCGTTTGCCACAGAGATTATTTTCTGCAGTGATCCAAAATCCAATGAAAACATCCCATCGGAGAATTCTGGTTAGACCCCCATGGCGATGCTACTTCAGGGTTGGCCTACAAAAATACGTCATATGGTTTGTTCTCTATTGTCATCTTCATCGGAAAAAAGCCTTTAAAAAAAAAAGAAAACCTTATGCTTAAAAACTTGGAATGCATTTGTGAACTTCATGTATTGGGGTTATCTTTTGCAAGTTCCTAAGAAAGGTTTAATATAATAATTATGTAAAGACAGAATTTAACAGAATTATTTGATCAAAATCAATGGTACATTAGTATTAACACATTTAAGAGAAAGTACAATCATTGACATCACTAGGAGGTCTTTATTTACAATATCCATTTAGCTTTCATTTAGCCCTTTCTCTTTCTCTCACACACAGAAATACTGCTGGTGTGGCATGTTCTCCAGGTGTATAGGAGCTGGTTTACTATATCCGTCCCCCTGTGGACAGCAGGCGAGTGCAACGCTCTCTTTGCCTGTACTTCTGTTATTAATAACTGCTGCTCCGCTCCTGCCTTGGGGCAAACTGACCTCGCTGTTCTCACTGCTGGTTGTTTTGCTGAGAAATTACCTCTTGTTTCATTTCTCTGTTATGCAATAAAGGGTAGGACAGAGTCCACTGAAATGCAGTACAAGCAAAGGACCCTTTTGTTGAGAATGCTAGATACATCAAAAAGTCTTTCTTTGGCAGCTCAAGCATTAACATTCGCCTGGGTTTTCCTTGTGAAATTGAAAGAAAAGCCGGTTTTCTCCTGTTTTACCACAATAGCCTCCCTCTTTTTCTTCTGCTTCCAACTCTCCAGGCCATCTTTAGTATCCCGGGCCAAAGTGGATATATGCTGTTTAAAGTAGCATGTGGGGAAAAAAGAAAGGAAAGGAGATTATGTTTGGGAATGCCGCCAGCACAAAGACCTTGTCGTTATTTTATGGGGAGAACGAACAGAGGCATCATGGTGGCCATCAAGGCCCGCGGGGCATAAAGACAGGATTATCACAGAGAGCAGGAGATAGTGGCGCCCCAGTAAACTGAGTGCTCTCTCCTTTCATCCTCCATTCTTTGCGGGGCTAAAGGCCAGGCCAGCAAAGAGAGGAGCACCCCACCAGCAGGGGCTCTGGTCTTTCAAACAGTCAAGTCAGTCAGCGCTAATGTCGCCCCAGCTTTATGAGCTCGACTTGGATACATCTGGGTAATTGCCTCTAGGCTACGATTGGATATCCACTGAAAAACATCTTTGAAATAAAGGCCTCTTGCCAATGCCCTGTTTGGCACAAGTAAGTCTGTGATGTATTCATGAGTGAAAACTGGATGTCCTGCCTATAAGATTTGAGCTGTTCCTATTCAAGCCCAGAAAGTAATCTTGCATATTACTGTACTTTGCCCATTTGGCTCCAGTAGGCCGAATCATCCAAGCACAGAAGACACATTTGAAAATGACGTCAGCAGAGATTCATATCTTCTTTTGGCTTTTAATGTGTAGCAGCAGATTGTTTTTATATTCTGTATTTTTAATAAAAGAATGATTCTGGTAGTTTCTTCTGAAGAAAGGGCATATCTACACCGACTATGTGCAGATAAACCCAGAATAATAGAAAGCAGAGGTGACCATGTACGACTTGCAGGAGCTTAAACATGATCCTTAAGCTCATCCATGTAGCCAGAAGACTTGCACGCCCAGATGAACTTGCCTGCACATTTCCTCCTGCTCCAACGTCTTGACTGGAACACGTTGCTGTCCTTTTAGAAGGGCACAGTTCATGTGTTGTGCTATGGAACAGTCGCAATGCAAGAAACCATGCTAAACCTCCAAAGGAAAATGTCTCCCACGTGATTGAAATGCATTCAGCTTCCCGGACGAGAAGCTAATGTGAGTGTAGCTGCTGGGCGAGATGCTCGTCTTGGGTTATTTTATAGCGATCTGTCGCTGGTTTGTTAAGAAAAAAAGCTGAAGACCCTGTGGCAGCACGGCTGTTTATGACGGCACAAATACTTTTTGATGTTATTTTTCCATAACTGACACTTAGGACTCTTGTCATTAAAATAATCCCTCTGAATGTTTGGTGGTAAGCAACATGAGAATTTAACACATTTTACTTATCACAAACAAAGTACTGGATGGGTTTACTTCACATTTTGTGGGTCTGCAGACATTCAGGTTACCAAAATATATGTTCAAAAACACTGTAAACTTGGATTTTTCAGAATATGTCCATAGTGTAATCCTTTTTATGTTTCTTCATTTTTAGCCATTATAAACTATGAGAGATCTGCTGACACATGTACACATCAGAAGAGCCGTTTGAAGCGTGTGGTTATTAAAGGTGTATCATAGTTTCCCTGGGTCGACACCTTTTCCACCCCTATGTAAAAGAATTTCACAACCTGAAGGAGGACATGTTATTTTTTCTACTCTTGCAGGTTTTTAGACCCAACAACAAAGCACTCCATTCTCCAATCTAACCCTAACCCTCCTCTATAATACCAAAGCTCTGTTCCTCTCACACCAGATTACTGAAGGATAAACCTATGGTAACAACATTACAGATTTATAATCCTTAGAAAGGCAGCTGAATCACTGAATCACTGTAATGGTGTAAAAAACCACTCAGATTATTCCAGTCATTAGCGGGTTTATTAGGGCTATAATACCTCTTTCAAAGGGAGCCGGAAAGGCTGCTAGTTAAATTCTCTGTAACGATGACATTTACTGGCTGAAGGCATCGTATTGACAGGCCACCTTACTGAGCTGAGGTGTCCCAGTGACGTCAGCCGTGAGAGAAGGAGCACCTCAGGGATCTTTAACCCCTGCTTGCTCTTGGCTTACCAGTGGAAAATCTTGCAAGGTTAGACTTACTTCAGTTATTTAAATGTTGTTACAGCAATATAAAAACTCAGATTTCTGTTTTGCCTTTTTGCCATTTCTTTAGATAGAACGGTGGATTTATTTGGAAAATCAGGAGAGAGAATGGGAAATTGCATGCAGGAAGGAGGCCACTGGTTGGACTTGAACCCAGCCGCCTGGAGGACTACATGCCTCTGTACATTGGGCCTGACCTAAGCCCTAGTTCCATCAACGCCCCGTGATCTGTAGTTCTAAACTTTACCATCACATATCATTATGCTCAGCTCCAGGAATTGTGACGTTTCCTTTCTATTAGTTTCTGGATGTTGTCCATCTAAGCAGATGTTTTTTAGCTCCTCCCGGAGTTTGAGGCCTCCCACTCTGTTAGGCAGCTGGGCGTCCCATGGCAGCCAGCTTGTCCAAACTTTAGCTGCTTGTACAGCAAAATGGGGCGCCTAGCCAAGCATAAATGAAGATTATTCTACCTCCTAATTAGACCCTATTTAGCCTTTTTTACTGGTCTGGTTTGAAATAGATTGCCATATCATAGAGCTTTTCCTGCTCAAGTTTCAGCCTGAGAGCAATGTTGGGAAATGTGAGTTTGAGGAACATTGTGTTGTTGTTCACATGGCGCACATTTTTACTACGATGTCTTGCTTAAGGATGGAAGCGCACATCCTGTTGCAAGGATGCACTGCTAGGTCCCAGGTTGCAAGAATATACTGTATAAACATGGACTTAGTCTGAGAGATATCAACAATTGGTTTCCGCAGAGGCTTTATGAAACAGGCAAAGAGGTGGAGTTGAGGCGGGTTTAAGCCTCCTGGAAAACAGCTACAACCGGCCCACCTGTCAGTCAATTCGTCCACGTAGCTCATTTTGCCTAATTATTCATAGCTCAGCCTTCATTAAAATCTAAATGGATGAGTTATAAAAAAAAAATCCACCCATGTTAAAATAGCGACTGAGACTAAAACAGAATACATGGTACAATGGTATCCACAAAGATACACACTCCACCTTTTAAAACGACCACTCTTCTGTGTGGTCTTAACTGCCTCCCTTGTGACTCAAGTGCAGCTGTAGAGGCAGACGGCAAGAGAAGAGACCAAGTATGAGAGGTGCGATTTCTTACATGTTCACAGAAACAACAGGTCGATCTATCGCAAACACATGTCCATGCGTCCCCGCTCCAACAAGACACATAAGTTGTTTAGCACCTTCATGTTCAGCAAACAAAACAGGAACCTCAAATCTGTGGTTCTTCCATATGCCAGGTGCATGAGAACGCAAAGCAAGTCACCGTGCTCCTTACAACATCATCATCCCAAACAGGAAGCACTAAGAGGCTGGAAGCAAGATGGCCCATGCAGAGTTGTTGTTCTACATCTTTCATTATTAATTCATTGTTGTATTGATTGTGTATTCAACTGGAGGGGAAACGGAGGAGAGCTGCTGTCTCAGGCAGTTATATTATCCCCTCCTCTCCAGTTTCTCATCTGGCCCGGGTGCTGAGGGAGTACGCAGGATGAGACGCCCACTACCTTGATATAAGAGCATGACAAAAACAAAGTGAGAGAGGGAGGAGAGATGACTAAAAAAATGCTAAAAATGTTTTCAGGTCGTGCAAAAATGTAGCAAAAAATCACTCCAGATTTTTCAAGCAATCACAAACTATTTCCACTTATCCTCTCTTATCATACAGCCTTTAAAAAGCTTGTAAAGTACAAATGTTGCATGCGGGCAAGCTGTCTATCGATTCTTGGACTTTTTAATTTTAGCTAAGCATATTGCGGCAGTAGCTTTGTGCCGCCGGCGTCACACAAACATGAGGAGCGACAATTTCCAAATTCTCAAACTAGTCTAGAGAGCTGAAAATCAAACGACATGACCCCTCTAAGGTGACTATTAAAAAAATGTGTCCAAGCTAGCTTTCTGCCCCCACTTGCAGTCTTAAACATTAGCTAAGCAAACTTGCTACTGGCATTAGCTTAATAGTTATATATTAACATGAAAAGAGTAACAATTATGTCACTTCTATGCTAGCTAGAGAATCCGATAAAAATCGGACTATGAACCTTCTTTAAGATGTTGTTTCTAACTAGCTGTTCCCCTGGGTAGCAGTCTTAGCTAACCGGCTGCCGGTGGAAGCGTTTGCCAGTATGTGGCTTACAAAAAAGGACATTATCAGTTCTAATTTAAATTCCTAAGAAGGTAAGTGAACGTGTCTACAATTTATCCCAACGATAAATCTATTTGTTTGAATATTGGTGGTATGTGTGCAGAGCTTTCCTTTTCTCTTATATTTTGTTAGCGCCACAAGCAATCCACTGGAACACATTTGTGACTGGATGTTGCTCTCCGGCTCCTTGAAGCATGCCTTTTAAGTGTCACTGACCAGGCCGTTCTCCAGGGACATCAAACAATACCAAACTCCCACACGTGTGTCACACCTTTGACCTCATAGAGGAGGCCACCGAATGGGAAAATGGAAGACATAATGGCTTCTTTGGCTGTGGGAGTAAAGTCAATCATACGTTTGGCTCAATAAATATGCGGGTGAACTAGAGTTCTGGAGTAAGGTAAGCTTCAGTCTGGAGTGTATTCTACTGTCCTATTGGATTGCTTCAGTGGGAGAATGAGACTAAGTGAATGAAGCTGTTCTGGGATGACACTAGGTAGTTGAAAGCACATTACAGTATCATCACTGCAGGTTTTGACTCAGTTGCAATCTGTGCCTGCCCGTGAGCGACTCCAGTGTATCAATTAAAGATTCATCCCAGGCAGTACACACACACAACTAGTGGTCTGGATTAAATATTCATTGGGAAGATGTTGGTCAGGATCATATGGAGCCGTGTACACTAGACTATTCCATTGTATACAAGGACTGGTGTCACATTACATAGACGGGCTGCAGCAGAGGTGGCTTTAGGACATGGATTGTACAAACGTGAAACACCATTTCATCATTTCCTGTTCTGTTGATGCTGGCTGCTGTGCTTACCTTTTAAAAAAAAAAAAAAAAAAATTGGCTGCCTCTCATCAGGAGGGTTCTGACTCATCGCAGATTTAGCAGCCGCCCCCTCTTCAAGAAAGGGAAAGTAAAGGGCACACGGCATTTCCCGAGTAGTAAAGCATGCAGCAGTGAGTGAGTTTGAGAAAAAAAATGAATTAGGGCCTGTAGCCAGAGGTTTCCACCACAGCTACATCCAGTAACATCCAGGGTTATTTTTAGCATCCCCGCCGCCTTGTCAGACTGGAGGAGAGAAGAAAACCCCCCTTGTGTAACAGGCGGGGGAAGCTGCGGTATGTTTGGGGAGGAAAGAGAGGCAGGTACGATCATCTGAGGTCCTGAGCAGATTATTGAATGTGGCTTGCGGTTAAATCTACCTGAACTCACCTTTATGTTGACATGAACCCAAATCAGTATCTTAAAAACACATGCAAAGGTGTGAGTGAACTGCATTATGAACAGACTCTTTTAGAGGTGTTTTGCTGAGCTTGTTGTTTACCAGCTTTTCTATTTATAGCATCATTACAGCTCAGGTTTCAGCCATCTGTGTGCCTACCTGAATTCAGGAGCCAGGTTGGGCTTCAGGCCATAGAAAGCAGCCGATAAGGTCAAAAGCCAACGTGGAACAAAATTCCCGTTTTCACACTCCAGGTAGGGCGCAGACCATTTGACATGCGTCTTATCTGGGATGAAACTCTCTCCTTTCTTTAAAGCATTGTCCGCTGGTTTTAAACCTTGGCTCAGCACTTTTTTACGGGAACTGGGCTTCTTTCTGTCTTTGACATCGTGGTACCACTCTGTTTCTGCCGTGCGGTTGTGCAGGTGGTGGTGGGCAACGCTGGAGAGGTCTTGGAGGACTATCTCCCCCCCAGCCCTGGTGGCTTGGAGAAGAACCGTGGCCTCTGACACGGCTGAACCCGCGTTGAAAGTGACTACAGCCCGGTGAATCTTCGCGTCTCCCTCCAGGATGCTCCTCACTAAAGCATGGTACCACTCAATGTCTCGCCGGAGACTGTGCTCCCTGGACCTGTTGGCTTGCAGGATCATGCTGAGGAAGTTTGAGGCGTGCAGCACCGTATCCAGCACGCCGCTCATGGAGTAATGCGGGGTGCTTTGTGACCTTCCCCGCAGAGAGGTGAGCTTCATATCTCCGCGAGCAGTTGGCGTGCTTCAAGGTGGTCGAGTCTCCCGTGTGAAGAAAAGCCGTGACCACCCTGGGGAGATGCTCCTCGATTTTCTGCGGGGATGGCTCTGCCGTCTCCCCGGGTGGGTGGTGAGACGCGCGGAGATGCGCCAGCTGCCGACGGTGCGTCTGAGCGCCGTGAATCTCCTCCCGTGCCCTGATATCTCTCCCATGTGCTGACCATTCCGCGTATCTATGGTTTGATCCGATCACAAATCCCACTTGCAGCAGCAACGACAGCCGGAAAACAGCCATCTCCCCTGCAGAAAGCGTCCACAGATGTTTTTGCTTCTCGGAATTACAGTGTCGTTGGGCGGGCGTGTTGTGGAGAAAAACAATCTGCTCCGCTAAAGCATCGCTTCACCACTTGTAGGATATTCTTGCAAGCTCCACGCCTCTGTTCTTTGGATCAAAAAGCGGAGGAGGAGGAGGAGGAGGAGGAGGAGGGGGAAAGCGTAAGAAATCCCCTCGCTCAATCTCTTCTTCTGTTTCAAAGATTCCTCATACAGCTTGTTGATGGTGAGAATCCGCTTGCAGCTGTTTTCCCCACCTCTCTTTCTCTCTCTGTAGACAAGACTGTCTTGGCTCTGCTGTGCGGCGGATGCTCTCCTCCTGCGTGTAGGCTACACAGACTGAATCAAAACGAGGAGGAAGGGAGGGGTAAGGGGGCAGGTTGTGATTATATTTATATATTTTTTTTGTGTGGAGGCACCAGTCAGTGGAGCCTCTCACTTGGATGACAAACGCACTCCGCCCTCTTCCGACCACTACAAGCATTAAGTAGGCCTACAGAGGCCACGGAGAGATGCATCAGGAGCTGGTTGTTCTTAAAGCCCGTCTTCTTCATCATCTCATAGGGCTCCGGAGGCGCCATTGGTCCGCGTATGGCTGCACACTCTGTCAATCACGGCGCAGTGTGCTTGGTGGCGCGTCGAGGGAGCTGTCCGGTGCTGAAAGTGATGAAGCAGTAAACAAGAAGCTGTCCATGTCTGAAGCTGATAGAGCGAATTATCGGCTGATTTATCAAAATTAACTTCTAATTAGAGTAAATGGATAGAGAGTCGTTTTCTTAACTGTTGGATTGTTTTAGTTTTACAGATTTTTTTGCACTCACTCTGTTTACAGACACATATTGAGACAATCGTGCTGTGATAAAGAATGCAAAGGTTGATAGCCTAAAATAAAGTTAACATAAGTAAATGGGTTAGGGTTAGGGCAGATGGTTTAAAAAATCAGGCCTAGGTCTACTGGAAAAAAAAAACATGTTGCACAGCTTCACAGTTTCTAGGTGATACAGTTACAAGTTGGGTGTATTTTATAAATACATTTTATAATAAATGATATTCATTAAATGATTATATTGCACTATTAACTAGGAATTTAAGCCTTTCTTTTTTTTAGGAAAGGCACAGAAACGTGTGTGTTAGTTTCAGCCAGTTCCTAGAGCCAAAATAAATATTATCAAGTAAGTGCCTGGATGTTCAAGTTAGCAGTTCTTTCACCTTAAAATATGACCAAATTCCCCTCCAAAATTTCTCTGTTCAATTTGTTTTCAGTTGCTGATTAAACTGGATGTGGTAAATTCATACACCCTAAACAACTACCATCTTCCTTCATCTGGTGAATCTAATCCTCTAAGAGAGAGTGGTGGCTGCGAAAGGAACTTACTCAACTTTGATCTTCAACAATCACATATGGGTAGGCTATAAGTTCAGCTGACCAGATGCTAACTGTTTGGCTGCAGTATCAAGGTGTAAAATAACATCAAATAGAAAGAAATATGCTTAATGTTTTTTCTAAACCACAGTTCAGTGTATTCTTTGAAATCTCAGAAACAACAGGATGACTATTTCTCCAAAACTTCAGGGTGTATTTGTAATGTGATAAAGACATGCTTCACTTTTTCAATTTATAATTTTTTATAATTAAAGCAAGTTCTTGGTCCTTAGTGTGCTAGCCAGGAAACCACACTGAAGGATCTATACTATCACCAATCTGTCAGTCTTTTTTATTCTGGGTTCTCTCTGTGCAGGGTGTGGGGGCATGTCAAGTAACGCTGTGTCGGGCTCCAGGCATCTCCTCCTGGAAGGAGGGCGAGGAAGACAGGTGTGACGGAGTGTGACTGAGCTGGGTCTTGACCCGCGTGCTGAACAGGCCACCGGGAACGCTGGAAGTCAGAACCTGAAGACCTCATAGAATACTTGACCAACCTACTCTACATACAGCTGCTTCCGAGGCCGCTTTCCTGACAGGAAATCCATCAGCAGCCATCACTGTACAGAATAATGGCTTATTTCTAAGAACAAACTGAATAGGGTTAATATGATCATTTTTGCTTTAAAATCCTCAAATGAATACCTCTAGGTATAGCATGGTTAACAGGCTAATCTTAAAGCGACCATTTAATGAGCTCCTGCACCTCGACCCCTTCAATGTTAAGAGAGATCTGCATCCTTATTGAGGTGTGGCCAATCACAACCCTGTATTTGTATTACCCAATGTTTCCTGTACAAAGTGGCCCGAGGCTCATTCAAATATTATAATAATAATAATAAAGTTTATTTATTAAGAACTTATCAAAATCAATGTCACAAAGTGCTTTACAGAAAAAAGAAAAAATCCCAACAGTCAAATACACAACAATGAAATCCTATTAAAAGCATGAAAAATAAAACAACAGTGCATCAATCATCCAATTAACAGAGAAAAGAGAAACAACCGAGACAAAGATTGGCTAAAGTTAACAGTAAAACAAATAAAACATCCTGGATGAATCAAGGGTTATAAGAAGGCCTTACGATAAAAATGTGTTTTTAAAAGTGATTTAAAAAAAAAAATTGACACTGTATTGGTTTTTAATAAATAAATTTTGCCCCTGCAGTATTGCATATTTTTAAAGTCTCATGCATCCATTATCTTCAATAATTATTTTGATCATTAACTCTGACGCAAGTGATGCGAACAGAGACAACACAAAAAATACACAAACAATTCAATATGAAAATAGTAACTTTATTTCCATCTGCATAATATATCTATATATTGAGACTTAAATAATCATCTTTTATGATTTGATTGTATACAAAAATATCTGTTTCTGAAAACCATAGTTTAGGAAAATGACATAAAGATGAACATCAAGGGTAAGGGTTAGGGTTAGAAGTCAAAATTTGCTGATTTTATGAGGTTTTTCTTTAATTTCTTCTTTTTTTTCTTTCCTTGTCAATAGTGTCAGGATGACGGGAATGAAAATGAGGCCGTGCAGCGCCCCGAGAAACATGACCAGAAAGAACATCTTAAAAAATGTTCTGAATGTGTTAAACTCAGACGTAGCTAACACTGACACCCCTAATACGGTAGACAAAGCCCCTTGTAGTATGGGATAGCCTAAGTTAGAGAGAGCGTCCACGGCCCTATCGTCAGGACTTGTTTTTTTACTCGTCACAAAGGCGTAGGACACATGAGCGGAGAAATCGACGGTGAAGCCGATGCAGACGGTGAAGATAATCATGGATATCGAATCGAGGCTGACGTCCCAAAGCCACATGAAACCAGTCACCCCGGCCGTCACTGAACCGATAGAAAAAGTCACCCACAATGAGCAGAGGGGGTCGGGGATCAGCAGCAGAGAGACAACCAGCATCACCGCCGTGATCACTCCGACGTTTTTAATCGTGCTTTTGACTACCACGTCATACTGGTCGTAGAAGATGAACTTCTGGTTATAGACTAAGACAGATGCTGCATTGCATTTTTCTGCAGTGCTTGTAAGGCCATTCAACATCTGCATTTCCATGCTGCCACTGGAAATGTCAACTGTCTGGACGAAGAAGCGCGATGCGGCGATGGTGTCTCCAATGAGGTTCACATCTTGCTTGAACAACGGAAATAAATCAAAGAAATTTGAAAGATTTTTGAGAAAAACATCTTTTTCATCAAGGTTTAGATTTGACTTTTCTCCATATACGTAATACGAGTCAAGCCAGGATGTAAATATATCTTTATCTACAAACCGAAGCCCTCTGAAGGCCTCTAAGCAGCCCTGAAGTTGTTGCCTCTTGTCTTCATTCCAATATGGGAATTCCTCACTTACAATAACCATTACAGTCGGACCATAAGCAGAAAAATACTGCCGATCCTTAATGTTGAATGTTGTAACGTGGGAGTTATCCGCTGCCAGATCATAGAGCTCAATCCCCTGTTGTACATGAAAACAGCCATAAATACTTGCAGCTAAGTATACTACAAAGAGGAAGATTACGGCTCCCTTGACCCACGGTTTGATCAAAAACGGGCCGTAGTACTCCTTAAAGAAATGACTCGCTGGTTGTTTTTTCTCTGTTCCAGTGTTGGGATCGTAGCCGCCTCCCACACAGCAGATGTTATATGAATCAGAGTGATCGTCGAGTTTGTCTGATGGTATTTTCACGCAGGTCAGCCAGTGCCGGTTGTCGGCTTCTCGCCTCCCGTTCAGAGCCAGGAAGGATCCAAAGAGGGTGATGGTGTAGAAGTAGCAGAAGGCGATGGAGACGCTGGTGTACACGCAGAACGACTGCACTGCTGGGAAGTCGGAGGTGACGCCGATGGAGAACTTGAAGAGGTCGGTCAGGGCGGTGATGGTGATGGACATGACGGCCTCTTTGTAAGAGTGAGCCATTCGATGAGGCACTGAATCTTTAACTTTGGTGTGCTGCCAGTCGGACACCAATATGAACATGTTGTTGAGGCCGATTCCTGGAAAAAGTTGTATTGTTGATGCAAAAGCTTGAAGACATTTCAAGTTGAGGGACATAAGATTTTTAAATGTTACACAATGAAACACAAATTTGTATAGTCTGATCTACCTTACAAAATCTGTAGCAGTCAAAATACTGTTTTTCTAGGTCAATGTCGAGTATAACTTGATGGTTTTTGGGGTCTAAACTACTATTAAAAAACTGCAGCAAAGGAAAAAAAAGGGGCTTTTCCTCACCGAGTATCAGGAAAGGAGAATTTGCTACTGTTATCACAAACGGCACTCCAAGGTAAAGCAGCAAGCCAAACGAGGATATAATAGCCAGACCAGAGGAGAAGACGCCAAAGACAGCCACCCACACTTTGTTCCTCACATTGTCCAATCTGCCAACAAAATTAAGAAAAAAAAAACACAAAAAACCTTGTTGATTTCATAATTAATATCATGCAACTGATAAAGGAACAATATACTGTAAGAAAAGTAGAATTACACAAACTTAATCTGGACAATTTAAATCTGGGAATCTGCAAAATCATCTTTCATCTGGGAGATTTGCTATGAAGGATCACAAGTAGCATCAATGCTCAAATTTATGTTTGGGTATCCATCGAGTATTCTAACACGATATTTAAATTTTAAAATGGGGATCAGCATAATAATAGGTCATCTTAAACACAAGGAAGACAAAAAATATTTTGCATCTTGATCCCTGAACTTTTCTCAGGCTGTAGACGTTAGCTTATGCTACCTTAGCTCAGGTTCACTTTAACAGCCGTCTGTTCCTGTTCATGCACAACTGTAACAGCAAGACTATTTGAAAGGGTTGATTTAAGGACAAGTTGCATTTGTTTGCCCTTTAGTTCAAACTTTATTTGTACAGTAAGAGAACGGATGTTACATTTATTTTCAGTCTTACTTTAAAAGCCCTCAATCAAAAACCTAATTTACAACATAAAAAAAGACTTCTATGAGATCATTTACAGCTAAATCAAAGAAATTCAACTAGTAACTAATTTTATCTTATTTTACCCAGTCCCTTTATGATAAAATGAAACGCAAATAAAAATACCCCCTCCCAACGACACCATGAGGAAACTAAATGTGAACTTCAAACTTTGAAAACGACAAAAACAATTCTGCATTTTGAATGAAAAGGAACATTTCTAAATCGGGATATCGCTGCTGTGGATACAGTTATGTTCAGATTGTAATGATGACTCTGTGTAACCTGCCAGTGTTTTCTCCTGTATCTGTCACTTTTGATAAACAACCACAGCTGTGTCCCGTACTTGGCGTGCATTCAGGAAACGGCTCGGTGTGTGACAGTCACTGATCACCTCACCTCAGGCAGGATATCACGGAGAAGGTGATGGCACAGGCATAAGTGATGAGGAATAAAGGAATGCCATCTGTGGTGTGACTGTCAATCTCCTCCTGCTTGGATTTGGAGGTGTAGTAAGACACCTACGACACACAGAGAGAGAGAGTACAGCAGAACAAAGCCAACATGAGCACTTCAGCCAGAAATCAGTGTTTACACAGGGATGTCACCACTGCAAGTAAAAGCTGTGTGACAGCTCAGCTTGGATTGCAGGACAAAGCAGTGCTTCTGCAACCTTGTTATCACAAAGGGAAGCATTAAGATAGAGTGGGAGCAATCAGGCTGTGACTAATATGTTTTGAAATATATCTTTATGTTTTTAACTGCACATTAACACTTCTTATTTTAGATCCTATAAGCCAATGCTTCCCTTAGTATCCCATAGCAACAGCATGTTCAACTATGAGACAATTCACATTTTGATTTACCTTTACATTAATTTTCCAGCTTTTCATGTAGGCCAATGAAAGGAAAATGCTTTGAGGAAAGAAATGACATAATCAGTACGAGTGTGATACATACCACAATATGTTTGCTGTCCGGCCGATCAAATAAGAGTTTTTTAAATCCCAACAGCCATAACTTTGCGGCATCAGCTGTGCTCTCGTTATCTTCTAAATAGTAGGTGAGTTTTACAGCCTGAGCGCTTATGACCGAGCCATTTTCGTTTGTCACAACCTCACCGAGCACAGAGCCCAGAAACACTGGACCGGATCTGGATGGGTGGAAGGGGAAACTGAGGCCGATTTCCTCTTTAGATTGAAGAATCTCCAGGACGGTGTTTGAGACACACTCGCCGTATGCTTTCGCGCACAACTCATTGTATCCAAGGCTCCCATTGTACACGGCGACATCAAGGATCTCAGCGTTGAGATTGATGACTTCCTCGAAGGCAGGATTTTCTAGTATATTTGCCCCGTTAGTTGCTACAGCAATGAGGGAAGCAAAGTTGCCCTGGTTGAACAACCTGTCTGCTGAAAACATAGAATCATTGTGAGGGAAGTTTTCCATGATCAAAGCTCTCGTAACCTTCGAGGGTCCTTTTCTGGGAGTGTATTGCCGCTCA